TTTTTTAGGTTACAGGAATAGCACAACACACTATGTCTACTACAATACAGTTTCGTTCGAAGGTCCCCATCATATAACACCCTTTCAATCGATTCTGCAACTGTGAGTGGAGGAGGGATGCATGGCTTATACCAATACCAAATCGGATGATGACGATTGCTCCTATTCTTATTGTTTGCGTTCAAAGATATTGTTCTAGACACATTCCGAGTGTTGCCAACGAGTCACACTTGCAATGGTGAATGAGGGAGCGGATTTCCAGGTGGCCGGATCCGACCTCGATAGATCCTCGACGCAATTATCTCTTCAACCAAAAAGCTGTAGAAGAAAACTAAACAGACCATCAGGAAGCGCAAACCTTCCGCTTTCCAAAACTATCTTCCCTTTTTCAGGATCTTACAATATAAGAGATATATTGCTCTTGAAGTGGCAAAAACTCGCGTGAAAATTTGGGCCTCCTCGACATTTACTCGACAACCGCAGGGCCGCGTTGGGGTGGATAGGGCCCGCGGAAAATTTGACAGACCCTATCTTTCTGCAAGGAAGGCTTCCAGAGCAATTTCGATGCTTGTTGGAAACGCGAAATCCAGCTCTATCTAACTCTACCTCAAGCTGCTTCAAAGGTTGTGAAATGGAGGAATGCAACCTTTTCATCGAGGGTGTAGATTCGGACGTTTTTTTTTTGAAATTTCGGCAAATCTGACCCAGTGACAATCGCGCCGCAGCTGCCGTTGAATCGGCCTTTGATACACTCGGCTGTTTTGATATACTCAAGCAAGAATCAAGATTGAATCGCAACCCCGTGTCTTCAGGATTTCTGTGCGTTTCTGAACGAACCTCGCCTTGAGGTCACACAAAGTTAATGCCTCTTTCCTCGAGTCGATATTTCAGTATGTACACAAAAGTATGCAGCGATGGAAGACGTGCATAGATGACAAGATGAAGCGTCCTTAGCATTATTTTGCAGAATTTTTTTGATTTGTTTTGCAGGATTTATTTTAATTGAATTAATTTGCTCTGTTAGAGGGGGTCGTGCCAGGATCTCGATTTCGGGGGGGGGGTCGTACCTCTGCGACCACGTACTCGACACGATTTTCACCCTGGTTTTCACGCCAGAATGCTCTAAGCGGGCAGCCGGGTGCTGCAGCCTGCCCCGGGTCCTGCTGACAATGAGGCCCTTATACCCCCTCTCGCTAGGGACGGTATTAACCGCATTGACCGTAATAAAGATATTAACGACTGAACGTGTTAATTACTACTACATGACAGAACACAAGATTATTACTACTTTTATGACAAATATCTACAGACATGCAATTTATATAACATATATGACAACAAGGTTAATGAGACAGAGAGAAGAGAGTGAGATAGAGGACTGAGAGATGAGGGTATGAGAGGGAATGGCGCAATAGACTACTATCGAAGGGGCTAACTGGAAGGGGCATACTACCGGTTTGCCGGGCTCGAAGATAACATTGAGGCGGAGAGAAGAGAGCTGATGACTTAAGGCGTAAAGCTCACAACGTTGTAGACTTCTCCGCAACCGGCTACTCGGGACGAACCATTCACAGCGACGACATGATGCAACACTCTGACGTGTCGAGGGCGCGCGGCGAGAGACGACAGACGTTAGCGTATTTTCTCACGCCGTTGGCGCCGGTCCATTTGAATCGTGAGAAAGCGTTCAATCGTAGCACTGGAGCGCGGTTTCCTTCCGGCGCATGCCATAACAGATGTCCAGGTCGTACGTAAGTCACGATATGGCGGATGATTTCCGTGCACGGGTATGCCACATCTGTGATTTGTCTTTAGGGAGTCTGTCCTAAAAACCGGAGGGAATCGTTCACACATTGGATAGCACCTATAGAGCTGCAGCTAAGCCATTCATTAATCGAAGTTGTGTTTACTTCACTGAGAGGATCAAACAGTGTATGTAATCGTTATAAACATTACCATGAAATGCCCTACACGACACCTTTCTTGAGGGATTTTGCCATTAGTTTTGTTGCATGGAAAACGTCACAATGTGCAAAAAGCTATCTATCGGTTTCAGTTCCATGGCTTTGTGACATGGTTCCGTTGCTCTTTACATTCTTCAGAAATATTGGAATTGCTCTCACTTGCAAGAGTTAATCCTTCTACCTCAAAGGTAGGTACGGAAAAATGAGTGGATGCAAGGACTATATCTTCTAAGATTAGAGGTACTTTACTGCTAAAAGTGCGTCCGTATCGGCCTGACAATGTCCTTCTCCGTGATCGTGAACTGATCGCGATTGTCTACGCCCACCGATTGGTTACGTCTGTTGCTGGTCCTTCGCGGGACGGAATGCAGCCGTCTTAGTAGTGACTTTTTGTGAGAGCAGAGCTTCACGTTGATAGCCTCTGCAGCGATTTGGCTTGTGTAAAGCGGGAATCAATGGAGGGAACAAGAGTCCCGTTCGTGGAATTAAGGCCGTTCCCTCACTTATTTCCTTAGCGATCATCCTCTTACCAAGCCCAGTTTCATCCTAAGCGGGCGACCAAGTTTTCGTCTAATCTCCATCCCGTAGGTTGATTCAATCTGACGCTTCCAGGCGTCGTTTGCATTCCATGTATAATAGATTACAACAACACAGCCACCTCCTGCTTTCGTTCAAATTCACAACTGCGCTATTGAGGTTCTTACACACAAGAATGAAGGTAGAGAATGGAAGATTGACGTGGTAAGTTCTATTTAATATGAAAGTAGGGATGGGAGGTGGACCGCATCTGGAGGAAAAAGGAAAGGAAATCGTGAATACACAGGAAATACGAGCCTTTTGCTCTACGCTGCGGAGAAGTTCAAAAGGCAGGCAGGGAGATGAGAGATAATGTGAGCGCGGAGAGTGGTAGAGAAGTCCGAGAGAGAGCATAGCAGATCAAGTTAGCGACAAGATATCGAACGGTGGGCGGACCATGTTAGGTTTGGTGGAGTCTGTTAGAAGTCCATGGCGCCTAGCGTCTTACAATTAGTGACGCGTTTCCATGTAGGGAAGGCTGCGCGACCTCTGTGCTTGCGCACCTATCACTTCTAGCACGGTAAGGGCTTGTTAAAGCAACAGTCCCAGCAGGGTGGGCGCGGTCGGAAACGACCGCAATCCCCTCGGCAGATTCCGATTTTTGAGTCACACTTCTTACGTTCTTGACTAGGGGGTGGAACAGTCGACTCTGTACCTTGGCACACTTTGATTTAAGCAAGGCAACGGGCGTTTGAAGGCAAAGTCAGGCTCGTGTTTGGGCATTATGGCGCCTGAAATTGAGTGTAGAGATGGGAGGTGGAACGACAGTGAAGAAAAAACGCAAAGAAACCGTCGACAAGACCGAAATCGAAACCCCTTTCCTTCTAGCAGTGAAGGAGCTTTGCTCGGGGGAGAGCCACGTCCAAACGAGTTTTCCGGATATGCCAGCCGTTCTATCGGTTGATACGGCAATCAACCTAGCTGATCTCACACGTTAGGGCCAGCCACGCACCACATCCCATGGGCGAGGACCAGCCGACTTCATACATTATACGTAAGTAGTAGGCCGGAGGCCTTGACGGCGCGCAATCTCGAGTCAGGAGTGTGGCATCACCCCTCTGAGCGCATTCCTGGAAATATTAGTGATGGAAAGGCCTTCTATGGTCACCTAATCCTGACTCGTGGCTTTAAAGGCGAACAGTTCGAAAAAGCAGGGTGGGCGGTGTACGGAACGACTGCAGTCCCTGGCCGATTCGATTGTTGGAGTTACAGGTCTTAACTTTGATTAAGGGATGTGAACAGTATTCAGATCGGGAATCGGCCAGGGATGCAGCTCTTCACATCGCCCTCTGATGAGGCTGTTGACTTCAAGCGGGGCTAAACTCGAACTTTGTCTTCAAGGCTGGTGACACGCGAATGAAATGTTGAAGAAAGAGAAATGTGCTTATTATGAACGGTGTTTGGGCGTCTGAGGTAGCATCACTGGGCACTTGCTCTGCGAAACGTGTGCCTGTAGCCGCGCGATAAAGCTTTACTTGTACCTCTGAGAACAAAACAAGAAACATATCGAAGTTACCAATAGAACAATTGTTGAGTGTTTTTCTACACATGTATAATCGTGGAATGACAACAAGTGTGATGTAAATAATGGTTGAATCGGGTACCTTGTGAATTTTTGGAAATTGTTCCTCACAGTAGCGATGTGTTGTGGTACTGGCCTCACAGGAATGTATAATAGCTTTGACGTGAAAGAAATAGGTTTATTGTTCGATATTTTGGCTGATTAAAAGTAGGTTTTGCTTTTTTTGCTTAAAAAACCCTTTATTTGGTCCTCAACGAATTACGAATTTGAACTTGTCTCGAGGACGTGAAAATATAAGTTTGTTTTTGTACAAAACCGTATGGGGCGAAGTGGTGTAGTGGCAAACGCGCTGGTTTTCACCGCGCGCGGTCAAGGGATCGGTTTCTGTGTACTGCGCCGTCCAGGCTAACCAAGTCCTTCATCCCACCTGGGTCCGTTAATTCGCTCCAAACTAGTCTGGGAGATAAAAACGTTAGCTTGTACAAGATGGTTATCGCAGAATTTGCGGGTCAAGTCGATTCGAACGGGCCATCAGGATGTCAACGATAGTTTGGATTGCGTGCCGCATCCCAAAGCCGGGATTGATCTTTATTTCTTCCCATTACTTTATGAAAGTTTCGGTTTTTTCTGCTATTAGCAGCGTGCGGCGTTAATAATTGTGCAATGGTGATAAAGTTTATTTACAATTTCAGTAATTAAATAGTCTTTTGTTCTTCGGTTTTCGTTACTTTTTTTTGGGTCGTATGATGAGTAATCAAACTTTGCATGCTTTATATGAAAAGCGATTGATAGTGGCTATTTTACTGTGCCTGCAGACAACGAGATGAAGATTTAGACTACGAGAAAAATCTGAAAACAAATAGTTGTTCGCAATATTTTTGATCTCTTCACAACTGTATACTGATAAGTAAATAGATTATTCGAATAATTTCCTATTCATGAAGGCATGCAGACAGAATAAAAGCAAGGAGCCACCGCAGTGTATAGTGCACAAATCACGTTCGGCAATGCTCCACATACGTTTATCCTCTCCCTGGAGTGAGTCACATCTTTGAATTTTCTTCTTTTCTGAATGGTGAAGTGACAGGATTCTGTGTGGGATTTATTCAGGGGGAAGTATAAAGTTTTTTTAGTCGCGCTTAAATTTTCTTCATTATAGGCGTCACTGTTGCATTGGAAATGCGAAATGGAACAGGTAGCGTATGCACCTCCCGTGATTACGTTGTAGAATATATCGTAATGCCGCCAGTTTTTTTTCGTGCCATGGAATGCACAGGACCATTGAAGTAGGAAGGAATATTTAGCTAGATCACCTCACTTTTCACCCACTTTTTAACCTCCAATCTGCTATTGCCATAAGAGCGGAGAAGAGAGGGAGAGCAGTGTTGTGTGGAACTGAAAGACTCAAAAATTTCTTGACGGCAGCGAGTAAGGGAATTAGAAGGCATTGGGGGAATTATGGCCAGGGAAAGCAGATTACTCGGGCTGGTAGGGGAGGAATGTGACTTTCGAACGACGAAAGGTGCGCTGGTTGATGGGAGCTACCACTCTGTTTGCCTAAAAGCGATCGCCACTAGTTTAGTTGGTGATTTAGGACGGTGCCGCTGCCTAGTTGTAGCAGCGAGCACGTCCTTGACCTTCTCAATCTATCGTGATCTCCTGGTTAAACACTTCAGAGCAAATCTGTTTCGAAGGCACTTTATTCACACAGCCCTTCTTTTATCACTCTTATGAGATATTAACGCTAGATCCCATATAACGCAGCCATTCTAACCTAATCCAATGAAATAATAGTGGAAACTGAAATGAATTCTTACTTGTCACTTTTGTGTTTTCATATCAACGGAACACGTACTACAATCAAATTCTTTGCGTAGAATGTTGGGTAAACCCATTGTGTCGTATAGATGACAGCTCAGCCAGTTTGGGGGAAGGTGCCAGAGAAGAGCACCCGTTAATACACTGCGTTTCAAATATAGGTCCACCCTAATTTTTTTGCTATTCCAAAGTTGCTGTGCATTTTGGAAAATGCCGCTATTACCAATAGTTTCCCCATAACGAAAAACCTTGATACTTGATTTCTGGAGAAATCTCGATTCAGAATTATTAAATATCTTCCTTAGAACGTATTTTCACCGTTTCGCAAATATGACTACACATCACTTGTCGAGAGATTTTACTATAACGAAAAAACGTCACGAATTTTCAATAATGGGATGACCCCCCAATAATCATAAGGAACACAATAATACGTTTTGAAATGCTGGTAGCCAAATTAGCTATTACAGTAGGATCGAAATTCGTCTGGGCGCCGATGATCGACCTTTTCAGCTTTTCGGCTGTTCCATTTTGCTTTACTTTGCTGTGGAACTTTATAACAATTAAGGCCCAATGATTCTCTATTGGAATCTAATTCAGATAACATGGTGGCCACCAGAATTCAAAGGTGCCAAAAACCATAAGGGATTCACCGCCGAAATTACGTTACATTGAAACCATCTGCGATTTTCACGCGATCATCCTGTACCCTCTTTTTCTGCCATATCCACCTAGAATAAACTTTTCCACGTCGATCTCAGACCACCTGTAGAACGAAACAAGGAGGTAGAGTCCAAGATCGCGAAGGGTCTTAACAGCCACACCATCGCTCATTAAGTTGAGCCCTTTTCCACGGAGAAATGGAGACTTGCGATCTTGTAGCGCTCAAATAATCTTGGAACGCTCTTCATCAATCCGTTGAAGATGTTATTGCTCTGCTGGCTGGATTATCACCAAACAGTGGTTTGTCACGAAGGCCGCATTTCAGTACGGACTTTGTTCGGACTCCTTGTATAATTCGAGAGAAGACACCCAATTCCTCCTAAATTTTGAAGGAAACGCAGTCTTTATTTACCTAAGCGACTCTTCTCTCCGCACTGACCAGGATTTTGCACATAGTCGCTTATGCAGTATGAGCCGGCCGACATGGGAGGAAATTCTGCTCCTCAGCTATCCCACTTCAGTAAGTGCTCTAGCTTGAGCTTGTTACTGGGAAGAGAGGCGAATAACACGAGGTATGGTAAACTCGATGTCGACTGAGCCCACATATTTCCCCGCTTCCCTGATTCCCTTCACGGATCGTGAGAAATGGAAACTTTTTATGAGTGGCCCGATATTCATGAAAACTGTTAAGGAGAGAAATTTCTTTCTGCAAATTATTTATTGAGTATTTGAGGGGGGTGTGTGGGTGATGAAGGTTTTCGTTGATTGAGAATCTTAACGGCCGAGGAGCAGCAATTTCCAAATGACAGAGCACTTTGGAGTAGCAAAAATTTAGGGTGGCTATATTATGCTGAAACGCCAGTGTATTGCCGGATGATACCAAGAGAGAGATGCACTCTTAGGAGGTGATGATAATACTTCTCTTACGCTCGTTTACCAGTCACTCGAAGCCGAGTTGCTCAAGGGTTTGCATATGTGACAAAAGGATCTTCAGCAGGAACGAGTAGCACGTGGGCATTAGAATCGCATGCGAACATGCAGTGGTGTTGGATCTAGCGACAAGCAGTGGCAATACTGGAGGGACGTCGCGCTTTCGGGCGTACTTAGGCTTAATAGCTCAAGCATGCAATTGCAGATTGTAATGGGGTGCAGAGAACTCAGTGCTTAACTCTTCAATCATTGCGTTACGCAGCGTTTTCTGGCTGGTGCAAGGGTTCGTGTCCGGCGTCTACTTTTATGATCACCGCATGCCTATGTTGATCCATATAAATAATTTACTTTACACATAAATTCTATTTTGAAATATTATCTCACCCATTTACAGTATTCCATGTTTATTTTTCTGGTGGAATCAACTATTATATATCGCATGGTATAGGTGATATAGGGAGTAGGGTAACCGAAAATGCGAAAGAATTGAAAATGTATCCTGAAGAACATAACTCAGGGAAAAAAGATCAGGGTGATGTTAAATTGAGTGTCTTGTTGGTTTATGGTGGTTGTTTGATCGATTTTATCACCCAAGCTGCTCATTACTTACTATAGTACATGGGCGGAGAATTGAGGGGTGGACTAGCGGCTTTTCGCAGAGATACAGTATTGCTGGAATTACTTCGCGCGCTGTTCCACGTCTGTATTTCTATTTCATATTCGATCTTTATTCTATTGTGTATCGAGCAGGAATTCAAAAACCTGTGTTCACCTATGGCTCCAGTCGTTAATACGCTTTCAAAGGCATCAAATACGAATGTCGACAACAAATAGGATTTGAATACGATACTATGATGGAGGCAGGAATGAGCTGTCGCTTTTATCTTTGGACCATATCCAGACAATTCAGCAAAATTCTATTCACATAGCACTTGAAAATTTCTTCGAAAATGTTCCTAATATTTGGACCTTGACTAAATCATTTACAGGTAATGGTACCATGTCTGGAGGAAGTGGCAACGGCACCATGTCAGGTGCCTGTGGGAATGGGACCATGACAGGAAATGGAACCAGAGCTGGAAACGGAACCATGCCGGGATATGGTGGTAACGGAACCATGCCGGCAGGCTGTGGGAACGGCACCATGAGTGGAAACGGAACCATGTCCGGGAATGGAACCATGACTGGAGGTGGCAGAAACGGAACCATGTCCGGGAATGGAACCATGACTGGAGGTGGCAGAAACGGAACCATGTCCGGGAATGGAACCATGACTGGAGGTGGCAGAAACGGAACCAGTGGTAAGAGTGATCCTATAAGTGTATAAGAAATTTGATTAAATGCAAGGTAGGACGGAAAGCTTTGGCCAACATAGGCTAGCAAGTTTGCTAACATTCATAAAGCCTTCTACGAGAGGTCGAGAGAAATGTGAATGTAGCCCTAGTTGCGCCTGAGGTTGCGTTTATTGTGAAAGGAAATTTGCCGAGATATCTAAATTCTTTTCAGGAAACAGAAGTCTCAGTGTCACTGAAAATCAGTACCCGAATCCCTACTACTACTACTATTATTATTATTAACTCACATCTCTTTCTGGAGATGCGGTTCGAGGCGTCGTGTTTTATGTTTACGCAGTCACGTATATTCCACAAATAAATCATTGTTACTTTCATTTTGTAGTGCTCTCAGGATTGTTGCTAAAAATGGTGCAAAAAAATTTCCGTAATAATTTTTTTCTCGTCGAGAACAAAGGATATGAAAATATGCGGTTGAGTACATTATTCTGATGCCCCCGCGAAGTAATCTAGGCGCTGACGATAACACAAACCAACCGGTTAAAGGCAAAAGTCGGGTTCAATATGGGTATTATGGCGATGAAACTGAGTATAGAGATGCGAAATGGAACGACAGTGGAGAAAAAACGAAAAAAAACCGTCGACAAGGCCGAAAACGAAACCCCCGCTTCCAACT